GGGTGTCCTGTCACCCAGTGGGCCCAATACCCAAGCTGCAGGGGAGCCCTGCTGGTAGGCTGGAGTCCAGTCAGGCTGGGCCCAGTGGGCATGCGGTTAGTGGGAGCCCCAGCGGGTTAGCCCTTCCCCTAGCAAGCCAGTGAGAGCAAGCGGAGAGAGCAGACATATTTACCATTAGAAACGGCCTGAGGGGGGATGTGCTGCTCTAGCCGCCTTTCCCCTGTTTGACATTGTAAAAAAGCTGTTTAGATGCTGGGCAGCAGCCACTGTGGCCCACTGGGCCCCAGTCCCCCCCCTTCCCTCCTCCACCCCTGTAGCCCCAAACCACTAGCCCCAAGTGATGAGCCCTGAGACTCCTACACTTAGCTCCCCAGCCTTGTCCTGCCTGGTGTCCTCAAAGAAGCCAGGCTCCCACCAGATGACTGATGGAAAACAGAGTCCCAGGGAGGGGCCATCATGGGCCCAGTACCACACAGCATGCCAAAGGCAGAGCTGGGATGCAATCTCAAATCTTACACGCTGCCAAGCCCCAAAGGGTGCCCACCCTTTTGGCTAAACTATACTGCCCTCTCTGTCTCCCCACTAAATTTGAATGTCCTGGCGGCCCCGAACAATGACGTTTCCTCCTACCAGGGCTGGGGAGAAAAATGTGATGAGGGCAAGGCAAGCTAAGTTCTATTGGAGAAGAGGGAGAGGAACTCGGGGGCGACTATAACTGTGACCCCTAGAGCTGCCTCATTTGCTCTCTTCTGCCTCGCTTGGCCATGGTCCAGAAGACAGAATGGGTCTTGCATTAGAGAAGAGCTCAAGCTTACTAAGGGTATTTTCAAAAGCAGCCATGCCCAGGACTATGTGAACAGAAGGCAACCAGAGAGGGACCTGGCCCCACATTCATGGGTCTGAGCTCTGTCCTGATACGTGCAGCTTTTCTTTAAGGACCGCATGCAGTTTCTCCTGGGGGACTCTGGGGATGTGTGAGTGTGTCCAGGGGCTGGTGGGAGGTTTAGGAAGCAGAATTCGACTTACAAGGAAAAAGATGAAAGGAGCTGGAACAAACCAGCCAGGAGAAGGCGACATGAAGACCTAAAAATGTCCCAGGGTCTTTAAAGGGTTAGTTCAGAGGGAAACGTGTAGCGGGAGAGAGTTTAATTAAAGAAGTTTAGAGCCGTGTGTGCGAGTCTCTGGAACAGGTACTCAGAGGACACCTTTAAGAGCACCATTTGCTCCCCTGTTCCTGTGTCTGGGGGTTAGGGCAATGCTGTCTGCAGAGACGGGCGGGGTCTCTGGAGAGAGATGGGGAGAGTCTGGTTCTTAAGCCGAATGTCATGTCTCTGATGAATACACAGAGCGACTGTGTTCACGCTTCCTCGTCCTCCGCATGGTGTAGCGCATGAGATGACCGGCATCCGTAAATACACAGAACAAGCTCGCCCCTGCCTGGCTCCCTCCAGACACAGCCTTCCTCCCTGCCCAAACCCTTCCCTTTCATTTCCCACTTCTCCAGGGGCACGCCTTGTCCCATCGTCTTTCTCAGCACTCTGTGAGCACATAGTAATTGGCCTTCACAAAAGTCCTAAAGACAGAAGGGGTGAGGAATTAAACTTCAGGAATCAAGGAATTAAACCCAGCTATGGCACCTGACGGTATGTGAGGTAAGGCCTAGGAATCCAGGAAAAGGGATCCAGGTGTTAAGAAGGCCCCAACCGGGGCGAGAGGGATGGAAGGCTGGACCTGGTGGGGCAGTGGAGGGCTGCAGGCAGAGGTGTGGAGGAGAGGGGAGGGGGTGCGGGTGCAGGGGAGGGGAGCGGGCAGGGGTACACGGGACGGAGAGGAAGAAGAAACCTGGAGCCAGGAAACCCCATTTGTCGGTTCAGGGCTGGTTGTTCCAGGAAGGGGCGCTGTGTCCCCGCCCCCCCCCGCCCCAGTTCCAGAGCAGGGACGGTGGGCTGTGACAGCTCCCATCTTACCGCACGAGTCCCCCGGGGCCTCGGGTCAGGCTCCGCCGGCCGCGTGGCCCCAGCTCTCCTCCCCCTCTCAAGCACAGCCTCGGTCAACAAGCACCTCTGCTAATTATGCCCACTTTGGCAACACTTTATCCTGCATAAAGAGGACGGCGAGGGGCCCCCCGGGGGCGGGGCAGGAGAACGAGCAGCCCGGGAGGAGAAGAGGGTGAGGCCTGCAGGCTTTCAGGGTTGTCCCTCACTAGCCCTGGCCTTGTCGTCTGGCTCGTCAGTACACTCACCGGCCATTCTGCGCCCAGCACCCGGGCCCCGGGTGCTCCCCCTCGCCCCTGGTTCTCCAAGGCCCCGACCCCCACCCCCTCCCCATCCCAGGCGGACTCGCGTTCATGGGCCTCACCCACCGATGCACGTCTTCCCGTCGGTATGGAGCACGAACTTGACATGGCAGCCGCACCGGGGACCCTGCTCTGTGTCATCGCACGTGTGCTGGCAGCCGCCATTACCGTAGTTGCACGTCACTGGGCAGAGAGGGCGGGAGGCCTGTCAGCTTGCTGCTCCCTGGGCCCCAGCGCCCTCCACAGCACTGAGACTGGCCCCCTGCTCTGGTTGCCTCTCCCACGCTCCCTTTTCCTCCCATGTCTTGCTGCCCAGTGTCCGTGCGCTTCTCCCTCCCTGCCATCCCCAGTTCTCTCACGTTTACAGTCCCGTTGGTTCTTGGTGAGCTCGAAGCCAGGGCGGCATTCACAGGCAATACCCCCTTTGGGTGTCTCCCGGCAAATGTGAGCACAACCGTGGTTCTTGTTCATGCAATTCATTCCTTCTAAAAGGGAAGAGGAGGGAGGTGAGTGCTCCGTATGCCTGGATGCCTAGAGGAAGAGGAACTAGGGGGACAGTGGGGCCTAGGAGATTGAGAGAATCCACTGAGGCTGCCCCACAGTAACCCCCATCCCACACTGATCCCAACCCCAAATGAATTCCCCCAGATTTTGCTCCAACACAGTGTCTGTCCACAGAGCCCGTAAGCATGTGACTGGGTTGAGGGACAAGAGAGGAAGGAGCCGATGGAGTTGAGAACAGAGGGTGAGACCCAGGGGCTTTTGAGGGAAAACTCCCCCACAGGTGGACAGCAGCCTGGGAGTGCAGGGCTGGGCCCTCCCGGGTCGTGGGCTGACCTTCCGGCCGCTGGATGCAGGTGTGCTGGTTGTCGCTGAGGAAGAAGCCCTCCCGGCAGTGGCACTCATAGCTGCCCATCATGTTGACACAGCTCTGCTGACAGCCACCATTGCCCTCGGCACACTCGTCCACATCTGTGTAGGATGGGTGGTTGGTGAGGCCATGGGGTGCAGGCCGGGGTCCACAGTGTGCCCTGAGACTTCAGCACGCCCTCCCCAGCCCAGTGCAGCACCCAGCCTCAGGCCAGAAAGTTCTCGCTCACTCATTAGCTAATGTTCCACTGCTCTGGAAGAGGCCACCCTAAGAGGGCGGAGCTGGGGAGCTAAGCCAGTGGAAAGGGCACAGTGGCACCTGCCTCTCTCAAGTGAAGACTTGCCTCCCTTTCCCTCACTTGTTGGAAATGGGTGTGAGAGCAGAGGAAATCAGGAAAGGAGCCAGGGCAAGAGGGAACAGAGATGACGATAAGGATGGGGATTGGTCAGGGAGAGGAGCTGGGGCAGTGGTTGCAGCCAGGGAATGCAACAACTTGGAGCTGGCTCCAAGTGCAGGGAGAGCTGTGGCCATGGCGCTAGGTCTGAGGGGCGACATGGGTAAAGGCAGCAAGCCTCAACTCCTTGCAGGGCAGGGACCATTTCTGTGGACAGGCCACGGCCCCATCCTTCCTACCCTCCCCCCATGCCTGGGCTTGCTGCCATAGTCCTTAGCCTTTCTCCTATTTTGGTTTAACAAAACAGTCTGGTAGCTTGGTGGGGAGGGGTGGGAGGAGAGCTGCCAGGCCACACCCTAATTACCACCCCAAATCGCCACCCCCAGGTCCCAGAGCCAAGCTCATTCTGGGGCTCCCAAACTTCAATGCCTTGATTCCGTCTCTGTGCTACCTACTGCCCTCCCAAGTCCCTAGCCCTTCTCGGTTTTCCTTGGCCCAGCAGGCATCCGGGAGATCGGCCTCCAAACAGAGCAGCTGGAATTTGAGCTCTTGAAGCCCTCATCTGCCGCTCTCTTCCCATCCTCTCTGCTGAGCCCCGAGACCCTGTCCTTTCCCCCTTCTGGCCAAGGGCAGAGAGGCATGGATCCAGCAGGCTCCTGCCTGAGAGAGGTACCTGTTGTAAAGCCAAGGAGATACACTTCCCTTTTCCTTATACCTGTCCCCTCCCCTTCTCTCACTGCACCCGACTTCTTCCCATCCTTGTCTGCCCTTTGTTGCCCCATCCTACAGTCCATCCTTCTGTTTGCTCCCTTCTGGTGCAACCTTGTGACTTTGCTACTCTTTAGCCAAGTTCCTTCCTCCAATTCTCAGTGGGGAAACTGAGGCCCAGGGCATGGATGACTTAGGGTTCCCCTAAAAGCCAAAGGTAGAGTTGAGACTTTGAACCCCAACCCTAAGGGTAGGGTTAGGTAGACCTTTGCTCCCCCTGCCTCTTCCCATACCTATTCATTCTCTTGCCCTCTGGTTGGTTCTCCCCAAAATGCAGGGAAGCAAGACTTGGTGAGAATCAGGGGCTTAGAAAGGTCAAAGGCAGCCAAAGGACTCAGAAGCTGATGTCTCCCAACCTGCAGGAAACTCACTGTCCTGGTCAAAGTGTCATAGCTTCTCTTTCTGAAGGAGTCCTCAAAGAGGCCCTCACAGGTGACTGGGCAGAAGAGAAGTGAGGTCCTACCCTGGTAGAAGAGGTGGCCAGGGCTGGGGGGAAGGGCCCAGCACGGCTCAGGCTGTAGAGGCCCGGGTTGGGAACAGAAACCTATAAGCCTGGTCCAAAGATGGGATGTGACTGGGTCTAGAGGCAGCCCTGCAGGAAGGAGGCTCTCCTAGACTAAGGGAGCCTCAGATCATTCTTATCGGTTTGGTCAGGTGGGGAAGCAGCCTAGCTGCTCTTCTGGGCATCATTCCTCTTCTCTTCATTTCCTGCTCTTCTAGTCTTCCAGTCTCCTGCTTTTATTTTGACACCAGAGAGGAAGAATTTGGAAAAGCACCCCTGGCTTCACACTTCAAATCCTTTTCTCCTATGGGCTTCAGTGTTTCTACTTGGGGAAGAATCTGACACGGTCCCAGTAATTTTCCAAAATGATAAGAGACCAAAGTTGAGTGGAGTTGCCTAGAGATTCTCCTATCTCTGACCCAGCTCCTGGGTCAAAGGTCAGGTCAGATTGAGGCCTGAGAAGTGAGGAGAGGGAGAGCCTAGAGATTGCAGGACAAGCTGGAAGACAACCAGTCTTTAAGGGTCAGAGGCTCCCCAGGACCCAGGGGAGCACCACCATCATCACCACCATCATCATCATCAAACATTCCTCCCATTTATTGAAGTGTAGAGCCAAATTACCTTCCCACCATGCTCTGCTCCCTATGGCTACACCTACTATTGTCATCTTCTGGCCCTTGCCCTGGGAGCACTTTCTAGCAGCATCTCCTCTGATGTTTTTCATCCAGCAGCAGGGTTATTTCATCCTCAGCACCCAGTCTCAAAGGGGAGGCTGACCTTGTTCTCCATTTTGTGAGAATGCAGCTTTTCGATCACCTTCCTCTCCTTGCCCGGAGAGTGGGAAATGCTGGAAACGCCTCCTTCCCCACAAGACAGCCCCTCTGCCCACACCTCCTCTCCCTCCTTTGCTTACCCAGACAGTTGTGTCCGTCATGTGCCAGGTGGAATCCATCATAGCAGGTGCATCGGTAATTGCCAGGGATGTTGACACAGTCGTGCACACAACCTGCATTATCTTCTCGTTCACACTCATCCACATCTGTGGGCAAAGAGGATCTGAGGCAGCTGGCCCACCAGCATGCCCCCCACTGCCTACCCCTGGGCTCAGCCCTGTGGTGGTTTAAATATGTATATATGTGTATATATATGTATCTTCTCTGTGTATGTATGTTTACATAGTTACTTTCATAGCCTACAAACCATTTTGCATTTTACTATTTTTTTAAAAGAATTTATTTATTTATTTGACAGAGAGGGAGGCAGCGAGAGAGGGAACACAAGCAGGGGGAGCGGGAGAGGAAGAAGCAGGCTTCCCGCCGAGCAGGGAGGCGGATGCGGGGCTCGGTCCCAGGACCCTGGGATCATGACCTGAGCCGAAGGCAGACGCTTAATGACTGAGCCACCCAGGCGCCCCGCATTTTGCTATTTTCATCTAAACTTAAGTCATAGGGGCTTCTGGGTGGCTCAGCTGGTTAAGTGTCAGACTCTTGATTTTGGCTCAGGTCATGATCTCAGGTTGTGAAATTGAGCCTCACATCAGGCTCCACGCTGAGCATGCAGCCTGCTTAGGATTCTCTCTCTCCCTCTCACTCTGCCCCTCCCCCGCCCCTCTCTAAAAGTAAGTAAGTAAGTAAGTAAATAGATAGATAGATAGATAGAAAGATAGATAAATAAATAAAATATGGGGCATCTGGGTAGCTCAGTCGTTAAGCGTCTGCCTTCAGCTCAGGTCATGATCCCAGGGTCCTGGGATCGAACCCCGCATCGGGCTCCCTGCTCCGCAGGAAGCCTGCTTCTCCCTCTCCCACTCCCCCTGCTTGTGTTCCTGCTCTCACTATCTCTCTCTGTCAAATAAATAAATAAATCTAAAACATAAAATAAAAATAAACTTAAGTCATAAACATTTTCATATGTCTCCACCCAGTCTTTCTAATTACTGCTGTACATAGTTGCAGAATATTCCATTGTGTTGCTATATCATAACTTATTCATCCTTTATTGTCAGATTCCTCCCATTTATTTTACTATCATAAATAATGCATAAAGAACATCTTCTCCTGGATATTCTGTTTCTTTGAATTTCCCTTGAATAAGTCCCTAAGAATAAAATTTCTGGGTCAAAGGGTATAAATACCTTTTAAAAGTCCTGCTAGGTATGTCAAAATCACTTTTCAGTCTATAATGTCACCAAGAATTAATGAGTGTACCTTGTCCACTTAAGTCTTACCAACACTGAAGGTCATACATTGAAAATAACATCTAAGCATGCTTTAATTTGCACTGCTTTAATTATGAGAGGGGAAGAATGTGTTTGTTTACGGTATGAATTTCCCCTGGGGTAAACTGTCTGTTCTCATCCTATGTGGGAATGCTAGAAGGGCCTAAAGATGGAGGTTCCAATGTCAGGGCACCTCAGGCCTTAGTCCTATGATTCTGACCCCCCACCCAGCCAAGCTGGGAGGCTGTGAACTATTCCCCCCAGAGCCTCATCTAGCCTCTATGGTGCCCTCCCGGGGGAAAAAATAGCCACCCCTCCCAACCCCCTCCCCGAGCCCACAGCGATTGCAGGCCTTACTGTCATGTGCAGTGTGGCTGAGGGCAGTGGCACTGATTCCCCCTTTCAGGCGCCCTCCCAGCCTCACCTTTGCAGTGTTTACCATCCCCTGTGTAGCCAGACTTGCAGATGCACTTGTAGGACCGTGGGGTGTTCTGGCAGATCGCATCGATGTGGCAGTTGTCAGTCCCCTCCACACATTCATCCACATCTGGCAGGGGCAGAGGGGGCATGTGAGACCTTCTGTCAGTGCATTCCAAAGGGTGTCTTGAAGGTGGTTCCCCAAGGGCAAAATCCCCTCTCCTCTAAAATAGAGACAGTGACCCCTCCAAGAGCAGGTGCTCTTCCAACACCCTTCTGATTTCGGAGTGGGTCGACTCTGTAATTTCAGGAATTCAAAAAGCACCCCCACTCTCCTCAGAAATACTTAATCCATAATGACAGCTAAAATTCCATCATTTGAAACACTCCTCTTTGATTTAAAAACAAACAAAAACCCTTGGACTGAGTAGCACACTTACCTTGATTAGAAATATTCAACTTAGTGTGAATTAGTTTACCTCTCTTAGAAGGCTTGAGGCGGGGGGGGGGCATGGGAACAGTGGCCTCTGGGAAAGTGGCAGGGTCCAGTGGCCCTCAGTAATGGAAGGAGGAAGAAAGGGAGAAGATGGGGCACCCGAGAAATCCTCATCTGTCTCAGTTCTGCTTGAGACCAGGCCTGCTCCCACTTGCCCACCATGGCACCAAGAAACTTTAGAGGAAAGAAGTTCCATCCTGGAAGATTTCCCTCGGCCCCTGTGCTGTCAACAGCAGAGGGACCAGGACCGGGCAGGGGCTGGTACCAGCAACCTGAAGCCTGACCAGTGGGGCACTTGTGGCTTTCCAGCTAACTCCAGCTTGTCCAGCCCACCACCCTGAACTCTCCCATCTAACCCAAGGTGCTCCTCTCCCTCCTGGCTCTCACTCTGCCACGAGGTACTCCCCACAGAGCTATGCTGAAGGAAGAGGCCACCGAAGATCTAGCAAAAAAGGGGATGGTTCTGAAAGAACAGAGCAAAGAAAACCATTTATCATCTTTGGGCAAAAGATTGCAACTTCTGGGGCAACATTACGGTGTGCATAAAGCAGAGCTAAAATGTGGCAACATGTTGCATTCAGTTGAAAATGTTTTACAGGGTGTATTTGTGAAAGGTACTGTGCTGAAGCCTGTGGAGGCCCCGAGGTGACTTGGCCCAGCCAGAAGGAGAGACAAGTATCATGAGGCAGGGTGTAGTTGAGCGCTACAGAGACATTAGACATAAGGTGAGAGGGTCCTCAACCCTGGCTACACATCATCAGAGTTAACTCCCCTAGGAGATGCCCAGCGCCATCCCCAGTGGTCCTGGTCAATGAGCCCGCAGTATTTTTCGAAAACTTCCCAGGTGAGTCTAACATGCAGCCAGGCTTGAGAATCTCTGTGAAAAGGAAGATCAGAGGAGGAAGAGACTACTTCTAGCTGTGAACTGGGGAACCCAACTGTAGCAGTAGCCACCTGCAAATAAAGAAATGGGATTTGCAATCAAGACAGTGGACTGTAAAAAAAAAAAAAAAAGTGGACTAGAGCATTGCCTGGCTTTTGTTAAAATGCAGATTCTCAGGCCCTATCGCCAAGCTACAAGAATCCAAATCCTTAAGGTGCTTGATACATATTTTTACAGAATGTGAATGAACAAGTGGACCAGTAATCACTCCAATTTATAGATACCCAGGAGTCCTAGCTTGAAACAGTTAATTGTCCGCTGCTTTCATGTTTCAAGAAGTACTTTGGGGGCAGGACTGAGGCTTCCTGGGGTGAAGAAGAGAATTGAAATTTGGAAGAGTGCCCCCAAACATCCGGCCTCAAATCTTCTGGACTTCCATTCAGCTCTGCACTCTACCTTCCAACTGTCTTGGACTCCTCTGCAGCAGTCCACCACGCCCGGTCATTCCAACTGCTGTAACTCACACTTACTCTCCACTTCCCTCAGGCTCGGCGGTCATGGTGTCTCTGCCTGCTGGCCCACCCTGGGAACTCATCCCCAAATGAAAGAACAGAGAAGAGGGGCATGAACACTAGTGGAGGGCAAGAAGGGTAGCGGAGAGTAGACAGTAGGAGGCTGCGTGGAGTATCAGTAGGTCCAATGAAGAAATGTACTCTCATAAAAAGAGCCTAAGCTCTGAAACCGGTCAGTCCCAGATTCAAATCCAGCTCTACCTCTCTAGGGAAGCTTTTCTGATTCTCTTATTTCTTCCTCTTTAAAATGGGGATAATACCTCCTCGTGAGAGTCTGTGAACAGTTGATAAGATAATCTGTGTAAAGTTCCCAATAAAATATCTGGGAAATAGTACGGAAGCTGGTTCAGACAACAGATGCTCTAGGACTGTGCTGTCTATGATGGTAGCCATGAAGCACATATGGCTATTTAAATTAATTTAAAATTCAGTCGCTCAGTTGCACTAGGCCAAGTGCTCAATGGCCATATGAGGCTAATGGCCACCACCAACGGATAGCACTTCCAATATCACAGGAAGTTCTATTGGAGCCCTGCTCTGAGTTAATAAGGGATATGCCTAGGCCTGGGTGGACCAAAAAACTTCCTGAGCAGTGGGATTCAAGTTGAGTTTTGGAGACTGGATCAGCATTTGACCGTCGGAAGAAGAAAGAGGAAATTTCAAGTGTGGTTAAACACATGAAGAAAGACAAGGCACTCAGAGATCCAAGTCCTATTCTCTGTCCCCACATTTATACACGCCCTTGTGAGTCTTCAAGGCTGGCCTGGGACATTGGACAATCCCAGTGACTAATGATCATTCTGTCCATCCTGCTTTAAGCCCTCTTCTGTCTCTCACCATCTCTTCCCCCGCAGCCAGCCGGGCAATTTAGAAATCCACTGGGAAGCCCTTCCTCTAGGTCCATCTCAGAGGGACATGCCTGTCTCCGAATCATTGGGTGATTCCCTGGAGTCTGCACCGGGCCATCTGGGCTCTCAGTTCTTTGCTTTGCCTCCAGTTCAGTGCTCACTAGGACCAGAGTGCCCCTGATGCTGATGGCAGCAAACCCAGGCTTCCCGGCAGAGCCCGTAGACCCTTCCAGCAGCTGGGCTCTTCCCAGCATCCTACCCACTCCCTCATCGCCCTGCTCATGGTGCTTATCCCTCTCCAGCCAAGAGTCTCTGCCCTGGAAGACTTTTATCTCTTACCTCCTCCCTCTACAACGTCTAAGTGTTCTGCCCCTGTCCAAGCATTCACATACATCTCGTTCTTCACATTTGAGATGCAGTTCTCTTTTCTCAAGCCACACTGTTCCCGGCTTCCCCGATCTGGTTAAAAATTGTCTTCCCCAAAGCTCTTCCTGCTAAGCCCCATTCGTAAAGGGTTCCTGATCCCAGGGGACTCAGCCTGCCTCCGCTCACTTGCTGCCATTGCTGAGTCCTTCTGCTAATGCTGTCAAGCCCTCTTGTGTGGCATGTATCAGCTTCCCTCACTTGGCTAGTCACTCATTGAGGACGGGACCTTTCAACCATTTGATTGGAATCTTTTGAAGCAGTTCAGGCCTAAAGCAGAGCTCTGAGGGGCGCCTGGGTGGCTCAGTCGTTTGGGCGCCTGACTCTTGGTTTCGGCTCAGGTGATCTCAGGGTCGTGAGATGGAGCCCTGGGCCTGCTTGAGATTCTCTCTCTCCCTCTTCCTCTGCCCCTTCCCCCTCTAAAAACAAATGAACAAAACAGAGCTCTGAAATAGGGCCCCCCATTATATCCAGTGTCTCCTCCTTTTGCGAGTTCATTCTTTCAGAGCTCCCTTCCACCACATCTGCCCACCCACGATTTGTCCATGCAGGGATCCCTTCGATACCCATAGGCACAGTCTCATCATAGCTCTGAGGGAGCAAGTATTTACTACTGGCCTGACAAACAAGTTGATGCTAGTTGGACATGGATTGGTCTAGACCGGTGGTTCTCAACCCTGGTTGCACACTGGGATTCCCTGGGGGCCTTTTAAAAAATGTGGTTGTCTAGGCACTCTCCTACACCAGCTGCATCAGGATCTCTAGGGTGAGGCTGGGCTGGGCTGCTATCTTCCTTTCCCATCTCAGATAATATGAATAGACCATTTGCCCGAGCTGGGAAGACACTGGGGGCAGCAAGATGACAGAGTGTTTGAGAAAAGGGATTCTGGAGTGATGCCGTGTCAGTGTAAACGCCAGCCCCACCCGTGTCTGTGTGGTCCTGGACCAGCTTCTGAACTTACCTGTTCCCTGCTCTGTAACTGCATCTCAGAATAATAGCACCTCCTCATGGGGCTGCCGCGTGCATCAAATGAGTTAATACTTGTCAAGTATTTAGCACTGCAGTGCAGGCATATAGTAAGTGCTGAGAGAGGCCTGCTATTTTTGTTCCTTCTCTCCAACTTTCTCCCCAGTATTGTTTCTGAACCCCCTTTTCTGCTCCTCCTTCCTCTTACCAAAGCCCCATCTCAGGCCTCGCGTGGGGCCATGCAGCACCAGGAGAGCATGTGATGGTACAGGGAATGTTGGGGAGACACATCCCTGAAGGTACCTTCTCCACCGCCTTCTCCGCCCATGCTCGGAACTGCCCAAAGAGGAGGGTGAAGTGGGTGACGGGCCAGTTGGGAACCAAAAAGCAGCCCTCCACGATCCCTTGCGAGGGCTCTCCTTATGTGCCTTTACCCCCACCCCAGGTGGAGGGCTGGATCAAAAGCTGAACTGGGGGACAGTGGCAGCTGCAGAGATACCCCAGATGAGCCAAGACCTCCTTGCCTCACCCTACCCTGGCAGGAATGCATGGGTCTGTAACTGCAGCAGCTTTCCCAGTGCCATCTGACATTTCTGCTGGATTTGCTTCCGCACCTAGCAGAGCGCTCCATAAACTCTGCTCAATGTAGGGAGGGAGGGTGGGATGTGGGGGTGGTGTTTGGAGGGTGAGAGGGCAGACCGGGCCAGAAAGGGTGGATTGTTTGACCATGCGCAGTCCTAAGATTCCCTTCCGAGGATGGGCAAGTATACCCCAAAAGGGAAGCAGGAGGACCCCAAAGGAAACACTTCCATCTGCTTCAAAGTTTTGCCCAGGTCCAGCTCAGGAGTAACAACAAATGGAAATGAGCAGGGCGCCTGGGTGGCTCAGTTGGTTAAGCGACTGCCTTCGGCTCAGGTCATGATCCTGGAGTCCCGGGATCG